TATTATTATTATTTTGCAGCTGATCATCAGGAAGAGAAGCACAGCTTCATCTGCCTATCTGTTTTTTCATGCACTAACTTTGAAAGATTTGCATGCCTAGAGGGAAAATATTGTAAGGGGGTGGGGTGTGCATTCTCTTTAATTGTGAATTCTCTATCTCATAGTGGTCCAAATGAAAATTTTCGCAGGCTAGCCAAGCACATCCTTGGTTTTGCAACATTTTCATTTGTCAAATCCTGAGGCACCAATGTCATCTGAAACTTATGCTTCCTTACTGGTAAAGAAAAGGAAATTCTTTCTCTTGGAAAAGAAATGTTCTTCTGTAATACATAAGAGTTCAGCTGCTCTGGTGCAAAATGTAAGCTTGATTCTGAGGATTTTATTTTATTTTATAATGCAGGGTATGCACAGCCTGGATCATGTGATTAACCTCAACCATGGGGCTCAGCTAGTTTGGGAGAGGGACTGCAGGAATGAACGATGCCGCCTTCTTCTACGGGTGTCTTAGATCTCCTAGGACTAAGTTTCCTGACACTTTCATTTCCCTTGTTTGCAGATGGTGCTGCTGGCCCGCTGTGAGGGACGCTGCACTCAGACATCTCGCTCTGAGCCAATGGTGTCCTTCAGTACAGTCCTGAAGCAGCCCTTCCGTTCCACGTGCCACTGCTGCCGGCCACAGACATCCAAGCTGAAGGCCATGAGGTTGCGGTGCTCGGGTGGCATGAGGCTCACGGCCACCTATCGTTACATCCTCTCCTGTCACTGTGAGGAGTGCAACTCCTAGGGAGAAAACCTGCTGCAACAGAAAGAATAGGAGGGGCACATGCTCTGCAGCAGGACTCCCGGAAGCAACAACAGGATAGCCATTCAACAGCATGTTCAGACCCAACCAAGGCCAACTAACATGGGCTTCACTTGAGATCTATGGAGAGTGAACTATGATGATGCTTGCTGGGAATGTGCCAAATGATGAAACAGGCACCAGAATGTATAGCTGTGCTAAAGATGAAAACTCTTGCAGTGGGAGTGGTAGGGAAGCGGAATTCCAGACGCTCTCTCTTTTTGGCCCCGTGTCTTTTAATTGGAATGATGCTAAGGGGATACATTTATTTTCTCAGCGGTACTTTATTCCTGAAAAAGGGCCAGTGAGGACTTGTGGTTCTTCATATGAGTGTCTTGCCAGTAATGTAAAAAACACAAAGGAAAAAAAATATCCTCAAGATAAATAGAACATGTACAGCGAATGTCGTTATGTGGGAAATGTTTTGTTCTAGAAGAAGAAAAAGACTGCATCCTTGTATACAGAAGCCCATTGTATCTTTTGAATATAGTCTTTAGTTTATGTTGGCCTTGAGAAAGGACTGTGTTGATGGTGAGAGTTATATTTTATCTGGTCTGGCAGCCAAGTGTTGGACCCTTTATTGTGATTTAGGTGCAGTTACAGAATAAATAACAGAAAATTTATTGAACTCCTGGTACTGCTTCTGTGGTGTCAAGATATATTTACAGGCAAGGACTGAGACATTGGAAAAACATCTTTCTTCAGTTGGGCTTCCCCTCAAGCATTCTTTGTCAGTATTAGAAGTTACGACAGGCATGGGTTGCCCTTCTCATCAATCACATCTAGTCACAAGCTTAAACAAAGGCTTCTCTGAGGAATGTTTATCACTTGATATGTACATCGTCAACTAATTCCTATATGTGTGAAACAGAAATCATGGTTTGTGTGTACATCACCAAGTCACTGTGATGTACATGCCTGTATCAGTGAGCTTGGTGATGATGCACTCTACTAAAACAAGAACGTCCATAAAAGCAAACCTTAGTAGCACATCTTGGGAAAGTTACATTTTTGAATGGCAACTCCCATAATCTGTTGGGAATTGTAGTCCCCAGAAATAACTTTTCCAAGCTTTGCTTCTCAGAAGAATCAAGACACACTGCAAAACCTAATCAGTTCATTATTGTACGGGTGTTCGTCATCAACGTCTCACACTCACCAAATATGAAATAATGATACTGGAGTCTTTCTTCCTTCATGCAGCTTTATATTCTTCACTGAATCTAAGTGCTTGCTTCAAAGATGGGAATGAAGGGGCAGTATCTCTATACAACAGAAATATGATGAACTCTTAAAAGCTACTAGACTAACTAGTTCCAAGCTTAAAAGTTGGGTAACCCATTGGAATTTGCAGGACTTTCTATCCTTAGCTTTTGCTGGGTGATATTAGCATTTTATGGCAATTAAGAGAGTCAGTGACTCATTTTAGAATGTTTTGGAAGCCCTGAGAAACATGCATCTGTCATATGAACAAATAATTCTTCAGTTTCCCAACTGATCCCTCCATCATTTGTGCAAAGATCTAAGAATTGCAGTCATATTAATTTAGTTAGAAGAGTTTTACTGCGCAACTTTAAATAGGAAGGAAGGGGAAAAAAGCAAACTTGGGGGGCAGAAGTGAGCAGGCAAGCAGCCCATCTGTTCTATGTCATCTAATCTGTCTGAAATCATGGCCATATATAGCAACCAGGATTTTGACAATTACATCACAGAGATTCCATTAAACACACTGAAAGAGTTCCTTGTCTCTCTTGGGGAACCGTTGCCTGGCTAATGAAAACAACAAATGAAATGGCCCCCATGAATTTCTAGCCAAGCAGCTTTAAGACCTACATGCCCATATCTATGCTCATTCAGGGAACGCCAAAATTCTGTGCTATTGGCTTTCCATCAATATACAAAAAAAAAAAAAAAATGGAGATTAGTGGCAGGTGCAAGCTGCTTTCTGCAACTACATTCATAGACAGGATATCATTCATGGCAGAAACATGAAGAAGATGAGGTCATCTTTGATAGATATACACTGCTTCATTCTGACTGATCTTTCCTTCAGCCTTGTGAAAACGGTTTGGCCTAACCCCAAGAGGTAGTCCCCACTAGAGCAGACTCATTGACTCAACAGGATTTATGTAAGTCTTGACTCAATCATTCAATAAAGACCTAATGGGAAAAACCATTTGATTTTGAACCCCAGGAAAAAAAAACACCTCTTTTTTAATTACAGGTACCAGCTCACATACAAGTAAGAAAATGTAATATCCACAGCAAGAGTGGCCAACCTGTGGCTCCATAAATGTTGGTGGGCCAAATCCCAGGCAGCCTTAGCTAGTTAATCCAATGGTGTGGGCTGAAGGGAGAATTGTTGGTTGCTCACCCCACACACAGAGTGTTTTTTCTCTTCTTTGACTCCATACAAAACCTTTATCTCAAGGAAGCATTGGTGGCCCCATTTTCAGATAAGAAAGCCATTAGTTTTTCTTCATTTAGTAACTGCTTCCTCCTGCAAGTCATGTCATGAAGCTGCTTTTAAACAACCAAACCATCAGCTGAGAACCACTGTTATATGAGGGTGGGGGCGGGGGGGGGGAGAAAGTCCTGTAAATCTGAGCTGTTTATATTCAGACCAGGGAGATGAGCCAGCTGGCTCTGATTGGCCTTATTCAGTACAGTAGGAATGGTTCCCAGCCTACGTATCCAACAGAAAACAGGTCAGGAACAGTGCTCAGATTGCTACAATCTGGGGTAAAGTCAGGAATAAAGGCCATGCTAGTTAGGCAATGCTGGGTGTTGTAGTCCATGAAGTAACCAGTCTAAGCTCTGATCCAGGTTCCCATTTCCATCACAGCAGGACTCAAAAGAGAGCACAGCACTAACAAACTCTTCCTCTGAGCTAGGATTGTGGTGCTGCTCTAAGATGAATGATCACCAACCTCAAATCTGCTAAATCCTACAGCCTCGGCTTGATCACGGAATTGAATCCAGATGCCCTCAGTTTCCACCCTAGAATCTTACTCTTGGCTCCCTCTCCCCAACCAAAACAATTCATTTATGTATACAGTAGTTCCCACATTTGGCACATTTAAATATTATACTGAAATTGAATTGAATTTCTGAAACACTAGTAGGCTAGAGTTTAAAGTAGGCATTCTTAAAACCACTGAATAATACTGCTTGGGAAAACTGTTACTCAGACACAGCAGCAGCAGTAGTAGTATTTATCTATGCTGCCAACTGCTGCACTCCATCATCTTTACTCCTTTCCCACCCACTCAGTGACATTTTGAAATATTGATCATCTTCCTAACTGAGGAAGCAAAAAACTGCATAAGAGCGGAGAATAGGAAAACATGTGGTCGTGTCATTCTCTACCTTTCCTCCTCTCGGTCAAGATTTTTTAAAGATTTTTTTCTTAGTTTTGGAGGGGTTTTAAGATTTAAAAAACCCCTCCAAAACTAACTTAAAAAAAATTAGTTATAGCAAGGCAAAAAGAACTTGGACTGTGTGCATTTCCATATTCTTTTTGTCACTGTAATACCAGAACTATTATCACCCCAGTAGGACACCCAAAAGATATGCGTGTATTATTAGCATTTGCTCATGGATTCCATCCCTTTTTGCTGCTAAATAATCATGTTATTCTGACATCTGTGTCTGTTCCCTGCCAAGTAACTAAGGTCATAAAGATAAATGTTCTAACTGAAGCTGGAACATTAAGAAACCTAGCAAACAATTACAAGTATCTTGGGGGTACTCTCACTCCACTGGGTTTGCAGAGCGGGATTGCTATGCTTTGCGTGCTCACTTCTTGCAACTTCACGGGGTCATCATGTAATCCTTCTCCTTCTATGTTTTTTCTCTGGTTCTTCCTGCTTCTCTCGAAGTCAATCTGTGCGACATGGCAGCTTTGCAACAGGAAGTAAAGATTAATTTAAAAATGAAATGCCATTCATTCATTCCACCGTAAGATTACCCTAATGTGCAAATTTTCTTGATTTTGTTTGGTGATTGGTCAGCAGGAGGTAATCATGGGCTATATTTGCAAATTAATTAGGCAGATGTAAGAGATATGAGTCTCTGGGAGGATAATCTTTTGTTGCATTCTAAATGTGAAGCAATAGTATTCTGCTGTTTTCCAGAAATTACGGAAAGTTTACTTTTTAAATTTTCTTTATAAAAATAGAAGAGTGAGCAGTATGAGAAGCTGAGATGTATTCTAAACATTCTGTGTGAAAATTTCTGACTGATCAATACATATGTTTCAATATGAGTTGAGAATTCACTTAGTGTTTTCCATTTGGCCTTTCATGGCACACACATATTTATTGATTGATTGATTGATTTGATTTGATTTATACCCCACCCATCTGGCCTAAAAGGCCACTCTAGGCAGCTTCAATGAATATAAACAATAAAATAATACGAAGAGTTACATAAATCATAATTATAACATGCACAATACAAAAATAGCATACTCGTGTGTAAGTCAGAATAGGCATGATAGAATAATATTTGACTTGGAATGATAAATTGGGTTGTATGCAAAATTTGTTGACTATGCTTATTCTGACTGGACTATTTGCAGTCTTTGATGACTGGAAATTAGCTTCAGTTCCAGTCATCAAAGACTGCAAACAGTCCAACCAGGATACGCATAGTCAACAAACTTTGCATACAACCCAGCTACCTTCCAGGTCTGCTGGATTACAATTTCCACCATCTCTAGCCTGCTGAGTGAGGTCGATGGAAGCTGTAAATCAAGATCTCTGGGAAGGAACAAAGTGGGGAAGGTTGCATTAGCTCTCCTCCTCTTTTCAGTACGGTGACCTAATTTATTACATAGGCTTTTTATATTTAAAATACATTTGTTGTTGCCACTATGTGCTGTCGAGTCACCTCTGACTTATGGAAAACCTATGAATGAAAAATCTCTAAAATGTCCTGTCCTCGGCAGCCCTGCTCAGCTCCCGGAGACTCAAGCCCATGGCTTCTTGTCCGGAGTCCATCTCATATTTGGTTTTCCTCTTTGCCTGTTGCCTTCCACCATTCCCAGAATTATTATTTTTCCCCAGGGCACCCTGCCTTCTCATGAAGTGCCCAAAGCAGGACAGCCTCAGTTTCATCATTTTATGCCTCCAGAGATAGTTTAGGCTTCTAAATTAAAATTTACATTCCATATATTTTATTTATTCTGAAGGTTAGCCTGCATTTAGAACATTCCCTTATCATTATTGGCTGTATTTCTCGGTTCTATCGATATATTTTCCCTCAGGATCTGCATTTTATTGTAAGACACACCCTGAGGAGTTTGCATAAACACAATCAGGCAAAAACTGTAAAGCATCATTTTCTGAACTGAAATTGTCTCACCCTCTGAATATAGGTTGAATCCTTCCCATGGTTGAATCTTGCATAATGTTCAAGACATAATTAATTAATTTGATAGCATGAGAAAAGGGGCTTTGTGATTCCCCCTTTCATCTTCCCTCTTTCTCCTTCCGGCTTGTGCAGCTGCACCCTAGCAGTTTCTTCCATGCCCATAACTTTCATCAAATATTGTATAGTTAAAACTGCAGCTGGTACAGTATTAGCTTTCTGTTGTCATACAATCC